GAACCATTTGACAGCCTGGATGCTGTGCCAGACCTTCCTAAAAGTAACACTGGAAGAAATATATTGTAGAGTAAGTAATTGTTGATAATTTGAAGGCTTATTTAAACAGTATATGACCCTTAAGGTAGAATACAAGTAATAAAAGAAATGCAACAAGTTGCTTGTTATGTGTGGGAAGATATTTTGAAATACCCAGCAGGATGTAGATAAGGGAGATGTATTGAACTTGTAAGTTAGAGCTCTATGGGAGGGAAAAAAAAAAAAAAAAGAATAAATCCAGAAAAGCAGTACTCTGAGGATTCAAAAAGCCCCCTAAACCCCAATGTGTGACGCATGAAAAATCAGTTTATTCTTTAAATGCTAATTAAAAATGCCGTCTGAGGACAGAACTGGCTGCTAAAGAACACCAGGAATTGCAGGGTTAAGTTGTTTTTATACTTATTGCCATTCAGAAAATGTTGTTATGGAAACCAAATATATGTTATTTCTTAAATAAATATTCTCTCAAGGCCTCTGGAACAGAGTGAAGAAATTGAAGCTATTAGCCTTATTGTTGCTGTTGGCTGTCTGAAATCCCAAAGCTGAGATTCTAATTGAAAATCCAAGGATTTGGGCTTCCTGATTTTATAGTAAAAATGTAGGAAGCCAGTGCCATTGTTATCTCCTATTAAACACTATGAAAAACTGGGGATGGGTCTCTAAGATGCCTCTGCTTAGAGCATCTCAAGGTTTTTGCTGGTTTGGGAGCCTGCAAGGCAAGAATAATTTATGTAGGAATTCACCAAGTAAATTTTCCATATAATCTTGGTGTCTCGAGGATGTTTCCTTGTCACAGACATATTTCCTGAAAAATCCTTTTGCCAGGATTTTTTCTCCTGATAAGCTGAGAGGCCTCAGAGAGGAAATGTAAACAATAATTATCTGCTGCTGAGGAATGTGGTCTGGAGATGGTTTTCCAACAGGTGCATCTTTGATTGGTCTCATGTGGTTGTTTTTACTTGATGACCAATCACAGGTCCAGCTGTGTTGGGACTCTGGTCAATTACAAGGTTTTATTATTCATTCCATTCTTTTCCTTGATAGCCTTCTGATGAAATCCTTTCTTCTATTCTTTAGTATAGTTTTAGTATATAATTTTCTTTTAATATAATAAATATAATAATATAATCAATCAGCTTTCTGAAACATGGAGTCAAGATTCTCATCTCTTCCCTCATCCTGTAGACCTGCAAACACCACCACATTTCCTAAATCCAGCTTGATTCAGATTGCTGCTGAATAGGTTTTCTGAAGGCATCTGGAGCCTCATGCTCATGGAAAGAATCCATGCTTGGTTTGCAGGCTTTTTGCCCTTTACCCTGGGCAAATTCACCAATCCCCAGATCTCAGACCAAACCTGCAGGTTGTTTTCCAGAGGAAATTTGCTGCTAGAGAGATTTGCCACGAGTGTCTGTTATGGTACATGAATAATCGCAATGGAAAGGGGGAACTTGAAGGACATTTCTGATGCTGTAAGTAGCAGATGAGAAAAATGCAGTCAAAGCATGGTGTGGGACATATTTTCAGGCAGTGACACTGGTGAAGCATGATTGATGGCTGAACTTGTCACAAAGACTGGACTTGTTCACTTGAAATTGTCAAGGCCAAATTGGTTCTCTCAGAATTCGTTGGTTTATTCATTATGGAGATGGAGAGGCCACTCAGGATGTATGACTTGCATTAGTCCTTTCTGGGAGCAGGCTTTATGGCCTTGAATCTGTTCCATTTTCCTTTTTTTTCATGAGCCATAAGCAGCAAAGGATTATTTATTTTGCTGTTATACATGAGGAAAACTCATTAAGGGAGTGAATGCATTGGAATCCAAAGTCTTGTATCTGTAATATCAGGGAAAAAACCCACATTCCTAATGTATTTTTTATGATGCATAATTTGGTTTTGGATATCCTGCATTCATGGAAACAAAACTCAGAATGAAACTGTCAGGAGCTGTCAATATGTTCTGCAGAGTTCTGTTAAAACCAACAGCTGTAATCCTTAAATTATTAGAGAAATATCCTTTGGAAGTGGGGAGAAAATGTAAAAACATCTGTATTATCCCTGCAGTGACAAGAATGTTATTGGAATTCCACCTCTAGCTCCAAACCAAAAATTAAAGCAAAGGGTGCAGGAAAAAGAAGTGGAAGACCTGAAAGCTGTGGAAAATATGGCTGCTAATGGTAAATTTAACTTTGTTCAGGGACTTTTGAGGGGAAAGATTCAGAGGCAAGTTGAGCTTCCTTAAAGTCTCCCTGCTGAGAAGGGCTTAGATCTGACAATGTATGCATGTTTCATTTTATATAATTTTTTTTTTTATTTTACTTTGGAGCTGCAGCCTTAGCTAGGTATTTATTACCTAGTACATTACTGCACATCACAGGAAGTAGTTTAGTCCTTTTAATAAACAATTCTCTGCCCTCCATGCTGATAAAAATTATATAATTTGCTATATTATTATGTAATATTAATTATCAATATTTAATTATATTTACATTAATTTTATTTAACATAAAAATATATATAATATATAATTAATATGATATATAGAAATTTTGAGCAGTCTTTAGGTTCTTTGCAAAAAGCTGGAATAGTAAGAATATTTTCAGCATAAGAAGCCTTCTTTTATTAAAAGCAAGTATTTTTTACCATATTTTGGTAGACTCAGAAGTGCACACAGGCTGCTTCAGAATTCATTGCCAGATGTTTTGCATTATCCGTGTAAATGGATATCCATTCCTTGAAGTGCAATTGGGATGTTAATTTGTTTTTATTGAGCTTGTAGAGTAGTAGGCCAAGACTGTACATTGAAGGGAAGTAATTTCCCTGGTGTTTTTTACACTGATCTAGTCAGTCAGAACATGTTTTGCTTTATAAGTCTCTTGGTATTTGTTGCAATTCCCTTTCTATAAGTCTCTCCTATAATTTTTAGGGATAATGAAAGTGTTGATTATTAGGGGCATTTTCCAGTTCAATAAACATTAACATTATTCCACATTTGAGAATAAATAATAAATGAAAAATTGAAATAAATAAATGTAATAAAAATTTTAAATAAGTTTTGAAAATGAAATCCAGCAAAAAAGGAATTTAAATATGAGAGTGAGTTCATGCTTCAAGAGTATATAAGCAGAGCCATACCATCTCTGATTTGTCAAGCATAACTGAGTCCCTCAGGGTGAATATGCTTGGCCAGTCAATCTGGTGAATATGCAGAAATACTGAGAAAAATATCTGGAACAGCTGGTCTTGTTTGGGTAAGGTTTTGGGTATTCTTTTTTTTTTCCTTCAGTTTGTGCTGGTAACAATCTATCAAATCTGACTAATTTAAAATTGCAGCTTGTATGAATGAAAACAGCTTTCCCTTAGCTTTAGATACCAGATTGCTGCTGCTCTTATCTTAAATTTCTGCAATCATTTTTCTGCTAGGAAATTGTTTTGAGTATTACCCATCAGCTTGCAATTTTGCAAAATGGGATGTCACGTCCTCTAACAAGCTTCACTCCATAAGACTGTTCCAAGATCGATGTTTTAGACCCTTTTATTGATCTTTAACTGATCTTTTTATTGCTCTTTTATTGGTCTTTAACTCTTGAATGACCACTGTCAGCTGGGGATCAGAGTGCTACCACTTGTGAGGATGTGGAAATTCCTGTGCCACATTCCCCAGGCTGGAAGACCCGATCTGTGGAATAAATCAAGGAACAAAAACAACCACCCACATGCACAGTAAATACTACTTCTGCAGAAAACAACCTGCCCTACTTACTATCTAAAATAGTCACAAATATTTCATGTGGCCCAGGATTAAAATAGCTGGGAGTGACATTTGGGTGGCACAATAAAAGAGGTGCTGAGAGGTCTGGGTGGTTCCTTCCTGGTAGGAGATTCTGTGCCCAGGAGAGGCACAAGGTATGAGGAGATTTTTGTTTGCTGGTGGAAGTGAATACCCAGCTTTTGGAGAGGGGAGAACATTTTCAATGAGCCCATCTGGTTTTTAAAAGCAATGGAAAGGTTCCCAATATTTAAAACCGGGTTATTGAAAGAATAGTAAGATCAGAATTCATTTTAAGTTAAAAAGTAATATCAGGAAAAGCCATCTGGCTAAATAATGTATTCATATCCTAAATCATGTTTTCTGATTTCTGCAGTGAAAAGTAATGAATTGCACTGCCTTTGCACTCCTTGCCAAGGAATTTTTCACAAAGCTGTTGTAATGAAACAATTAGGACCTGTGGCATTGTTATACTAATTGGTGTTAATTGGTAGTTTTAAACAGGTATCTATTGTAGTGGTATTTGACCAAAAAACTCAGAATTCAGTAAATGACCAGAGAAAAAAATTATTTGAGAATGACCCTAAAATCTTCACAAATTAAATGGCGGGACTGATTCAGAATTACATAATTCTCAACTGGTTTTTGGGGTCTTTTTCCCCTCAGCTGAAAATGGAGGAAAATATTAGAAGTCAAGACAATGTCTTGGCTGTTTAACATGGCCATAATTTTTTGAAAACTCCTGAAACATAAGAAGAGGTTGAATAAAATAGACTGGTAAAGAAGAATTTGGGAGCCAACTGTGCAGCTTTATTGCTGCTCAGAAAACATCAACAGCCAAATCAAAGTGTTAACTCCCCTGAAGTGTGCCCATGTTTGTGCCTGCATGTCCAAGCATATATATATATATAAATAAATATATATAAAAAATAATATATATATATATGGGGAGAGAGAAAGAATTATATGCACGTATGTCCATGTGATTAATTATATATATATATATATATATATATATATATATATATATATACACACATATATAAATGTATTTATTCTGATTTTTTTTCCTAATTTAAGATAAAGTCTTCATCCTTTCTGTGGAGGAGCAGAATATGAGGGGGAATGGTGAGATGAGCTCTCAACACTCCTCTCTACCATCCTAATTTTCTTCTGGTTCTTTCATCTGTAGGTTTGCTGTGGAATTTTGGAGAATCGGGTATGTACACTGCCACTGATAAAGTGAGGAGCTTTCTTCTTCATTTACTCTGTGCCTCTTGCACAAAACCTGGTAAAACCTCTTTTCCCATTTAGAGTCAGACAAAGGAGGGAAAGCAGCTAGTTGTGTAGCTTTTGAGGATTACAGTAAACATAAGAAGCAATAAGGGAAATTTTGTTAAAATTTTATTCACAGTTTTATGAATCTTACATTCCAGAAGCTAAATGGAGCCTAAAATTCATTACACCAAAACGGAGGTTAGACAGCAGGTGGAACTACTGAGAGTGGTGATGAGAAACGTCTGATATCAGGTAAAAAATCCTGATAAAAGGGGATAGCTGAGTGCTAACCTTTGCTTGCCTTTTCATTTTCAACCCTATAGTTTCTACCCAAGATGTAATCCTAACATCCTGAATTTCATCCCCTTCAATTCCACAATATTTTATATAATTTTAAGTTTACTTTTTTCACTAAATATTAGCAAATTAAGGTGTAATTTCACTAATTAGAAAATTAGGCTCTATGTTTTATGTGGAGCCAAGAGGGGCAGCCTGCTATCTGGGGAAACTAATTTTCATTTTCCATAGAAATTTTTTCTATATATCTAAATGTATTTATTTTCATTTATATTTATATAATTATTAATAACTATGTAATTATAACTATATTATAAATATTATATTTTCTATATCTGTTTATTTTCTACATATATTTATTTTAATTTATATGATTAGCAATATGGATAAAATTATTGTAACTACAATTCTATATTATATATAATTATATATTAAATAAATATATATCACATATTTTGAATATATTTCCACAGAAATATAATAGGATTTGAGTTACAAACCCCAAGACATGCTTTTTTCCATGCATACACAGAAATTTAGTGACCGGAAGGTTTAGTCTGTTTAGAGAATCAGAAGTATTGCAAGCTATGTACAAAACTGAATATAAGGAGAATACTCTTTTCCTTCTACGGGAGTGTTACCTGGAGGAAATCAGCCCTAAGGTCTGGGGAGTGACGAAAAGATTGACATTTCTTTTTCTGTTTCTTCATCATCACCCTGAAATAACAGCTGTGGTACTTTTGGGGTCGCCCATCATAGGAAGGAAATTATAAATCTGACTCCATGTTCTTAGAAGGCTGATTTATTATTTTATGGCATTATGTTAAAGAATGCTATACTAAAACTATACTAAAGAATAGAGAAAGGATACAGACAGAAAGTTTTACAAGATAGTAAAGAAAAACTTGTGACTCTCTTCAGAGTCCAACACAGCTGGACAGTGATTGGTCATTAATTTAAAACAATTCACATGTTGGATAAACCATCTCCAACCACATTCCAAAGCAGCAAAACACAGGAGAAGCAAATGAGATAATGTTGTTTTCCTTTTTCTCAGCTTCCCAGGAGAACAAATCCTGGCGTGGGGATTTTTCCAGAAAATATGACTGTGACAAACAATTTATCCAGCATTTAGGGGTGAAACTCTTACAGTCCTATATCCATAGAATCATTTCAGTATGAAACTTTCCTGCCAAGGTAAATAGTAACACTTCAATAGGCTGGCATTACTGAGAAATAAAAAAGCTGTTTCTGCAGGCCAAGAATACTGAAATATAAGGCCAGCTTAATCCCAAATGAGCAATCTTCATGCTATGTCTATTCTGTCAGAAATTCACAGATCTGTCTCATTAATGTCAGTGGAAATTCTCTGGCAGGCTAGAACAGCATCAGCCCCTAAAGAATTACATGGTTTTGATACCAAAGGACAACTAATAAGAGAAACGTGTAACAGTTGAAATAAATGAATCACTGCACAAACCTTAAGTACCTTTTGCACTGGTGAAATAGATGCAAATTGAATATGATATTGATTTTGAGGTGAAAATCTTGATGAGACTTTTCAGAGAAACAATCTGAAGAGATCTGTGCAATTCTATTAACTTAACTGGCAATTAGAGCATGACAATTTAGTTCTGAAACAGAGAAGATTGCTAACAGTTTAAGATATACCCCAAAGGAAAGACCCAGGCCTTTCTCTTCCCCACTGATGTGTCTTTTCCCATTATCACTATTTAAACCACCAAGGATTGTGTAACCACTGCTCTGTCTCCTCCTACCTTTTCCTGACCTATTTAACGGGGTGCTGGCAAATTTCCAGCCCTCTCCAGCAGGGAGAATTCATTATCTGTGTATAGGACAGGGCAGTCTAGCAAGCTGTGAGATTAAATTGGTGATGAGAAAGTATTTTAGTGTTTTATTGTATCCAAATTGCAAATACATTTTTATTTCAAGCTCATTTTGAGATGAGATTTGGACATAATTTTATCCAACTGTAGTTCAAAGTTGAAAGGGAAATTACCTTAAGTGCATTCAAATGCCTTCTCTTTCCAATTTCTCTTTCATCAGTTCTCTCAGAGGATGCTTGTTTGAACAGAGGTACTTATCAACATTGGTAAGAACAGACTTTTTTTTTTTTTTAATTTCTTTTCAATTTGTTTCCTATGTTTCTCGATTTTTGAAACAGAATATCTAAACAGATTTTCTGTTAGAAAAGCACTTTGGAATCAATAATATATATTTCTTTTCAATCAATTTTAACATCTTTAAAGTTTCTTGAATGTTTTTTAAAAAATCCAGACTAGATATTCTTATGGAAGAAGAAAAGAGAATAATATCTGAATAAAATATCTGAAAAATATCTGCTTTCTGGCCTTGTAACAATCCGAAAAACAAAGAAAACCAGCAGAAAATATATCAGGCCAAGAGCAATGGTGCTACTTATAGCATATTTACTTTGGAAAATATTGAGCTGGAAAAAAATTGATATTGCTGGAAAATATCGGCAGAGCTGTGAAAGACAAATAAGAAACAAAACTTGAAGAGGAACCTCTTCTGATCTTGATTACAGTAGTAGTGTCACTAAAGTAGGATCAGACTTCTACTACTACTGGCTTGTTTGGAAGAAAAAAAATCAGTCAGCATTAAAATCAAACCAAAAACCCCAACAAACAAAACCAAAAAAATATTCCACAGCAGAAAATTGTATTTAGCAGAGTTTTCTAAGAATTTCCAGATACCAAGCAATGGAAAAATTTCAAGAAATTGCAGGACCCATTCTTGTGTAAAATTTTGAGTTACATTTTTCCATATCTTATATTAAAGTGGTTGCACACCACTTTGGAATTAACATCCTTCATTATTGTGAAAAATCCTTGTTCTACAAAAATAATGCTTTGGAATGAACGCCCTCTATTATTGTTAAAAGTCCTTATTCTGCAAACATACCTGTGAAAAATGCCAGTCACTTGTTTTTAAAATTTTAAAAGTTTAATATTAATAAAATGGTTATAAAAATAGAAATATAATTAGAGTAATAAAAATTTGAAGAATTGAGGTTTAGGTCAAAATTTGAACAATTAGGATTTAAGAGTCCTGTGGCTGCTATCTCTTTGCGAGTCCTCTCTTAAAAAAAGTATCTTACATAGCATTGTTTCTATTTTAACATTATGTTATAACCTAAAATTATATTTACACACTGCTTAAGAAAATCAATACAGCATAACTTTCTAACATAACACATAAAATATTCATTTTAATATTTGCAAAAAGCTAATAATAAAATATGCATTTTTCACAATACTGCAGGGGAAAATTCAAGCTGCTTTTTAATCAATGCCAGTGTGGATAAGATTGATTATTTCAACACCCAGTAAGTTAAGAAATACCTTTTGGAAGCGTAAAGAGCAATTGGTTTGTACAATGAGAGGAGTGGTCAGATGATGTGAAAGGTTAGGTTGTTGTTGAATAATTATTGACCTCTAATTTTTTCAAGTATCCAAATATTAGACTGAAATTTTCTAGTTGGGCAGGACCTTTGTTTAGCATTTAATCTGATATATTTGTTCAGCTGTAATTGCTATCCACAAGTCTGCCACCTTCTCATGTGTAAGAGGTTTAACAAGCATAAAACCAAATGCTGGCTACAGAGACTCTTTTGAAACCCTGACTAATGCAATATAAATCTCTTCAAGAAATGGGTTCTGTTGAACAAAGGTATTATTTTATAACCTATAAAGTATACTAGAAAAATTCCTAGAATTCTTACATTAGAAAATTTTCCTGCCATCTGAAAAATTTGGGGATTTGTGGCTTAGAGTGAAAAGACAAAATGAAGGTGGATACAATTCAAGTTCTGTGATGAATGCCATGACATAAACCACAGGTAAATCCTGTGGCACCACCTCACTACCCATATATATACAATTGGTGCCATTTTGAAATTACTGCAATTTCATACAGGCTCCTGTGGCTGTGGAGAAAATTCCAGTTTCAGAGAGTGCTTTCTCAGCAGTGCTCTACAGAGGTTGACATTGCCACAACTCTCTTTCAGCTCACTAAAGTGAATTTTAGTGAATTATTCCAGGTGAAGATACCTTGCTGTTAGAAGTGGATCTGGAGTTTGGGTGAAACAGTTGAGTTACTTGAATCAAAATGTTGGATGTGGTGATAACTGTGTTTAGTTGCTCAGATTTATGAACTTTCTTTTTCAGGTTCTTCTATGAGCCTTTAAAGCTTCTTCCTTATGAATGTTTGAAGGCTCTTCTATGAACCTTTATTTACCTTCTTTGAGCTTTTTTTGGAAAGACATGGAGGTGCACAGCTCCTCTCTGAACTAAGCAGCTCTGTGTGCCGCAGCAGGTTTTCTGCAAGGTCAACAGCACTTTGCAGCCTGCTACTAAATTCAGTGTATTTAAGTGGTGAAGGTGATATTTCTAAAATTATTTGATGGTTTTGTGCAATAAATCTGAGTTGTGATTCAGTCATTGAACTGCCCTTGTGTTTCCATTAGATTTCTGTTGCAGAGCCTGAAGAAACTGTCACACTTTGACAAAGCCACAGGCCTGTGGCAGATAGTGATTAAAATAAATAGACCCTCTTAACTAAAGCCTGCACCATTTTTCATAGTGAGGGGCTCTCTGTAGGTGTTGATTTATTGGAGATTTAATCATTGTGTTCACAATGGCAAACCTAAGATGTTTGAATAAGGTGGTTAATGAAAATCATCAGCTGCATTAAATAGCATTATTTTTAAAATCAGTCTTTAGGGAGGTTACGTACTCAAAGATTTCTTGTTCTGGTGCTCACTGGAATAAATCAAGAGTTATAACAAACTGTTATTGCTATTTCTAAGGAAGCTGGAAAGGTTCATCAAGCTTTTGAGGTAAACATTTCAGATGACTCTTTTTAGAGCTGTTGTTGAATGTACATCACTTCTGCTGGTTAACCCAAGGCAGCTGTCACTGCTTTTTCTTCCAGTTCAGTTGATCATAGCCTGACTCATTTTTTTGTCCATCTTTAAAATATGTTTAGAGCTTTAAGAAAGACTTATGGAACACCAAATCACAAAAGAGAGAAATATATTGAGAAATAGATTTTGAACTGTACCATTCATTATATCTCACATAATTTCCTGTTCTGAAATCTAAAGAGAAAGATCTAGTAATGTGAATTTATTCATGTGTAGCCTTTTAGAATCTGCTGAAGAAATGGCAGCACGTGATGAAACACATTTACCATGTCACCTTGTATGATGTCATTCCGTTGCAAGAGAATTCAATTTTCTGCAATAACTAAACTCTTCTGTTTAAGTGTATTTGCTATCGACTCCAGTTTTTTCATCTTCAAACTGTATATTTCAACAAATGTTAGAATATTAGTTGAAATACTATTTTATCAGTTGGAATATTATTTATATTATTATTTATATAATGAAAATCTTATTTAATACTTATGCAAAACCATAGTTTTAGCAAATTTTTATCTGTCATGTGGAATTACAAAAGTTTTGAAAATACTTTATAAATTATATCAAGAAAAGATTTCCCAACAGTTTTCTGCTTGGTGGTGGTATCTAGAACTAGAAGTTCTAAGGTTGCTTCTGCAGGCAGATGGATAATGTGATTTACATTAGGTCAAACTGAATCTCCAATGGATTAAAAAAACTTTGAATCTAAATCTTAAAATGTGAATCTTAATGATTTACAGCAATGTTGTTATCAAATCCATGGATATTTACGCAAATGTACAGTTTCAGCGTGATTTTTATCAAATTATTGACCTTTGCAAAACAAAATCAGTCATTTTCAAGTTTTCTACCTTTTCTTTTTGTTGTGTTGTTAAAAAACCCTCAGATCCCAATTTTGCTTTCTCTACACATTTATCTTGATCTGTTTATTGTACGCTTCCTTTGATCATTTTTATTGGCATTCTCTGAAATCATGGCAGATAATTAATGGGTACACTTTTAGACCTGACTGAAATATTACTCCTTTAGTCAGAAAATTCCTTCCAGTCACAGTAGCTAACTTTCCATTGATGTAATAAAAATATGATTATTTATTTATCCTCTGAAACTTGTCTTTAAAACATATGATGCTTTACATTAAGAATGAGAGCATTTATTTTAAATTGCTTTCAGAAATTATAATATCTTGGCATGGAAGATATTGACTCAGAGGTCTAGTTAAGACACTGAATTCATGTAGATACTATTGAAACAATTTTAGTTGCCAAAGGCCATTCATCTGCAGCTGTACTTTATAATTTATAGGAAATTAAACCAGCCTTCTCTTAGTGATGTCTGTAAAAGCATTCTCCTGCCCATTTGTGCCACTGATCTGTGCTTTTTTCAGACAGGGCCCCTCTGAGAGAGGGGATGAGGAGCAGCTTCTTGCAGTGTGTAAAGAGCTGGCAGAGTAATTATTGAAGGTTCAAGGTATGGCTTTATCCTGGATACATACTTCACAAAAATATTATATACTTTATACAAATATTATATACTTTATACAGATATACTTTATATATAATATATAACTTATACAATTATTGAAAGATCCAAGGCAAAGCTTTATCTTGGATATATACTTTACAAAAATATTATATACTTTATGCAAATATTATAACCTTTATACAGATATACTTTATATATAATATATACTTTATATGTATATAATTATATATATATACTTTATACAACTATGGAAAGATTCAAGGTATGGCTTTATCTTGGATGCATACTTTACAAAAATATTATATACTTTGCACAAATATACTTTATATATAATATATACTTTATAAAATTATAGAAAGAAGCAAAGAATGGCTTTATCTTGGATATATACTTTATACAAATATTATATACTTTATACAAATATTATATCATTTTAAAAAATATACTTGATACAAATATCATATGATTTATACAGATATGCTTTATATCTAATATATACTTTATAATTATATGTACATAATTGTATATATACTTTATACAATTGTATATATACTTTGTACAATTATTGAAAGATACATGGTATGGCTTTATCTTGGATATTTACTTTATACAATATTATATACTTTACACAAATATTATATACTTTATACAAATAGTATAAATTTTATACAGATATACTTTATATACAATACCTTATACAGTCATTGAAACACTCAAGGTATGCATCCAGGATGCATACCTGATACAAATGTTATATACTTTATACAATTGCATGTATACTTTATACAATTATTGAAAGATAGATGGTATGTCTTTATCTTGGATACATGCTTTACAAAAATATTATTACTTTATACAATTATATATATACTTTATTAAGTTATTGAAAGATTTGAGACATGGCTTTATTGTATTTGGGTGGTGCCCCATGGCAGGAAGGAATGTGAATCTGACTCCATGTTCTCAGAAGGCTAATTCATTGTTTTATGATACTATATTATATTAAAGAATTCTAAACTAAACTATACAAAAGAATACAGAAAGGACACAGACAGAAGGATAAAAAGATAATAATGAAAACTCGTGACTCTCTCCAGAGCCCCGGCACAGCTTGGCCCTGATTGGCCAAAGAGTCAAAACAATTCACATGAAACCAATGAAACAATCACCTGTGGGTAAACAATCTCCAAACACATTCCACATGTGAACACAACACAGGAGAAGCAAATGACATAATTATTGTTTTCCTTTTTCTCTGAGGCTTCTTAGCTTCCCAGGAAAACAATCCTGGGCAAAGGGATTTTTCAGAAAATATGAATGCCACATGGCTTTATCCAGGATCATTGCTGGGATCATTTCAAGGTACCAAAACCAGAGTAAATCATTAGCAGTGTACACTGGCAGCCCAGAAAGGCAGCTGGGTTTGGACTGCAGCCAGAGCAGGGTGAGCAGATGATGAGGAGGGGATACTGCCCCTCTGCTCTGCTCTGCTCTGCTCTGCTCTGCTCTGCTCTGGAGACACCCCACCTGGAGCTCTGCAGGCAGCTCTGGGCTCCCAGCACAGCAAGGACAGGGATTTGTTGGAGTGAGCCCATCAAGATTAGAGGGATGGAGCACCTCATGTAGGAGGAAACACTGAGAAAATTGGGATTTCCCAGTGTGGGAAAGAGAAGGCTTTGGGGTCACCTAACTGTGCCTGAAAAGAGCCAACGAGAGAGATGGAAAAGGGCTTTTTGTGGGGAATGCATTGACAGGAGCAGGGGAATGGCTTCACACTGAAGGGCAGTAGGTGTACATGAGATATTAGGAGAAAATCCTTTCCTGCAAGGGTGGGGAGGCTCTGGCACACCTTGCCCAGAGGAGCTGTGGCTGTCCCATCCCAGGCTGGGAGGGGCTCTGGGCAGCCTGGGATAGTAAAGGAGTCCCTGCCCATGGCAGGGGGCAGAAACTGAGTAGTCTGTAAGGTCCTTTTCAACAGAAACAATTCTATTGATCTATCAAATCTATTCTGGTTATAGGATTGTAAGAGTTTCATCCTTAAAAGCTGAATAAGCTGTCATTTCATGTGATGGTGAAGAAACAGAAAAAGGAATGTCAATCTTTTCCTCACTCCACAGATCTTAGGGCTGATTTCCTCCAGATAAGAATCCCATGAAAGTAAAAAAGTATTCTTAATTTCAGTTTTGTGCATAGCCTGCAACACTTCTGCTTCTCTAAACAGAATAAGCCTTCCAGTCACTAAGTGACTGTACATGCATGGGAAAAGCATGTGTCTTGAGGTTTGGAACTGAAATTGTTTTGCTTTTTATTTCTATGAAAAGTGAAAAGTAGCTCCTTAAAGATGCTCCTCTTGGCTCCTGGTATCTGAAGGATTCCTAAAACGTAGAGACCTCAATTTGCTAATTAGATAATAGTTAGTGTAAAGAGTCAATTTAAAAAAAATATATTGTGAAGTTGAAGAGCTGAAATTCAGCACAGTATGAGTACGTCTTCTACAATTCTGTGATTGGGAATCTTTTAGCAAAATTTGACAAATCTACGAATTAATGTCCCTTTGTTTATGACTTCAGAATACATTGAGCAGTTTAATTTAGCAGGGATAATCTAAGATAGAGAGTAGCTCAAAGGGTTTTGTGAGATTTGAGTTCATTATGTGGTCCAGTCCAGATTTCAATACAGTGTATTCTGCTTAAAGTGAGTGCATTTCTATCTCAGAGTGCTGAAGGACTGAGGAGTGCAGAGATATTCTCCTGATACACACTAAAAATATCCCATTTAGCATCCAGCTCCGTGGTGTCCCTGCAAAGGCACATTTTGATTTAAATGGGATTAGTAGTGTGCATGAAGTTAAGCATGTCCATAAATGTCTGCAAGGCTTTGGTTATTCAGTGCACTCATTATCTCAATTTGTTGTTTCATGGAATTATTCCAAGTATCTCGTCTAATCACATTCTCCTGGAGGCACAACATATGCCCACAATAGCATGAGCTATATATAGGTCCTTCCATATTTATGGAAGATCAATGGAACATTTGGATGGCCAGTGAATGCATGTATCTGTGAATTACCCTGCAGGAAATAAAATCCCTCAATGAGAGCATGCTGTGAATTCCCACTGGTAGAAAGCTGAGGTAGAAGTGTAATTTTTTGGATTAAAGCATTATGTAAATAATAAATTTATATGCTGATATTGTATTTGTTTATATATTTATTTGTCATACTATATATCTTATATATTTTTTATTTATACAGAAATATTTTATCTATTAAAATTAGATATTATTATCATATAATATGTTATATAATACATAAATATTATAGTAATAATATTAAAATATAATATAAATTATTATAAAAATCTATTTTATATATTAGCGACATGTAAATTATAATGTTTTATATAATGTATAATATATATTATATATACTGCATATAATGTATGTAATATATTTCATATATAATATATGTTTCTAATATATATATTAGAAATATATAAAATATATATTTTTTATATATTAGAGATTATATATTTTTATATTGCCATCAATTATATCAATATATTGATACAATTGATGGTAATACATAAACAAATGTACAGCAATGTATTATAAGTCATGTAAAATAGGTTTAGGTATATAATTAAATACAGATTTATATAAATTTAAAAATAAACTTGACACTAGTGTTTGTATTCTAGTCACAGATATGATCCACAGATACAGAAAAACACTATCGTGATGCTGGATGAAAATCAGGCATGTGAAAATATGAAAATATCTGCTCTTCACTGAAGATATTTTTCCATGTTTGTTTCAGGTATTTCTGAAAACTAACCTTTGGTATTTGGCTTGAAATGCAGTTGGCAAAGAGCCCAAAGGATTAAGTTCTCAGCAATGCTGCTGTAAGTCTGTTGAATTGCTTTATTTTTTTTAAGGGGAGCAGAATGTGAGGAAAGATTATGGCCTCTTTCTGCTGAGTTCGCTGCTTTCATCTACAAAAGCAGTCATAGGAATCAATGAAAGTCTGTACAGAAATTACATTTTAAATGTGTAAACACAACAGAATGGGACTCTTCAGAACTTGGAAGGGCTCTATAGTATTGCTCACTACTCACCCTGAAACAAAATCTGAATTTGTTTTCAAATAGCAGAGCTAAGAAAGACAATTTTTCCCTAGAGCTGGCTGTAAACTGGCAATATTACTATTGCTGTGTATCATTATCTGCTGAAGGAATTAAGCATGAATCATTAGAGAAGGAGCTGGCTAGCATTCCAAATCCTTTCATAAATGTCTTTGTTTCTAGACATGCAATTCCTTCCTGACCTTGCCATTTAATGTGTTTTCCCAGCAGTTGAAAAAATGGTGCTGTAACAATAATCACTGAATATTTTTTGTCTTTATGATCATATTTCATTTTGCAATTGAACCAGAGTCTGAGTAGTTCAGATGAAAGAATTTAAATACTGACGTTCAAACAATAGAGAATATCAATGAATGAAATTTCAGATGAACCTAATTTTTCTGAAATATCAGGTGGAATAAAACTGATGATGAAGAGAACTAATATAAATTATGTTGATTTTGAATTTGAACATTATATTATTTATATCATATGTGTATCATTTACACTGATTAGATAATGTAGATAATGTAATTTTAATAGCCTTTAATGAGATTTCCATTTCTCAGCTGAAAATCAGATTTACTTCCAGAAAGTCTCAATAAAATTAAAGTAGGATTTAAAGCATTCAGGGAAAATATAGCACTTCAAATAAAATTTTCATTCACTTCTTTACCTCCCATGAGTTTATCTGAACATATTCCTGTTTGCCAATGAGCACAGAAAAGTCTTGAAGTTGCAGATGAGTTACAGGGAGCAAGGCTATAAAAATGACCAGGCATTAAGTTCCTTCAGCTAAAATAAAACCGTTTATTCTCTGCATGCATTCCTAGAGGGGTTGGCAAAGTTTAGCTTTTATTTGTTGTTTGAATTTGCTAGATGCAGAAGTTTTCCATCTGTACTGGAAGAGCACAAAGGAGTGTGTGGGATTAGCACTTTGTTTTGCAATTTGATATCTTCTTTTACTTCCCAAAATCCAATTCATAGCAATGAAAACATAATTGTTTACCATGGCAATAAGTGTCAACACTGATTTATTTCTTGTGCTTTGCTTTGCCTTTTCATCCCTCTAGGGGTGCACATGAAACTGGACAAAAAAAGTTAAAATTGTGTCACCAATTGTTGTCTGCAGTCCAAGTAAATCCCAGTCAAGAACGTTGCTCTCCAGGATTTCATGCCTACTCCACTAAAAATGTAGTATTGAACCTAAAAATTGTAATTATGCCAGTGGCAAAAATAAAATGTGTCCCACATGTTGGATCTAATTCCCAATGTACAGTAAAACAATAACACCCTAAATTAGGGTTAAAGGAGCTTTTTCTTGTACTGATTTTTGGTAATACCCTCACAGAGACTCCAGAACCACAACCTTCCCTTTCCTCCCTCCCTTCCACTCAGAAGTGGACAAAGAGATATTTTTTTTCCCAAAGGGAAAAAAAATCACATCTTGAGATAAGAACAATTTACTGGAAGCAGAAATGAGGTAAAAAATGAACAGTAACAACAACAATATTAATAACTAAAGTGTCCCAAAAAAAAAAAACCACTGTGACTGATAGATGGAATTGTAAGGAGCAGGTACACAAAGTGTTTGGTGTACAGACTGTTGGATTGCCATCTTTTTCTCACTATTTAGTTTTGCTGCTCATTTTCATCTTGCTGTCTCTATCTACTGTAAAATCAGCACCATTCCTGCTTTTATACAGCAAATGATGCTGCAGAGTTGTAATTTCTAAGTGATCTAAGTGATGCCTGAAGCACTATTACAACATCAATTTAGCTTTGTTTTGGGGGAATAAGCATAAGAGGAAAAGCATATTAATATTTTTTATTATACAACATATACCATTAATTGGATTAAATAATAGATACTTTTTGATGAATTTATTCTTAATATAATTATCTGTATATTTCTAAGAAAAATAGTAATGGAACAGCAGTGAAATCCGTCCACTATCCAAACAACTGTCCACTCTGAGCTTTTTCCTTCAGTCAGGATGTACTAATGAACTCTCTGCTGTTACAAGCTCAGCTCTGACTGCACCAAATCTTTGCCTAATCTTGCCACTTAGCTTGGATCCAGCCCTGATTGACCTAACATTAAGTAGAAAAGCAATCTTACACTGAAGTGAAAGTAGAAAAGTAACCAAAGTTAAGTAGAAAAGTAATCTTACAAGAACATACACTAACCACTGCTGGTGCACTGCCCTCCCCTGGCCCCCTCCCTCCCCCCCTTTCTCCTTGATCACCCTAAAATCCCAGGGATCCAGGCCCTAAAATCCCAGGGATCCAGGCCCTACAGTCCCAGGAATCCCGGGGTCCTTTGATTTAGGAGTTTTGCTGTTCCCTGGACCTTTCCTGAACCTTCAGCACGGCTGAGTCAGGGTCAGCCCTGCCTATTCCAAGCAAGGAGCAGCACAAGGGGTGTTTGACCCCCAATGCCCCTGGGACATCACATCACTGCCTAAATTAATGAAATAAATCAGCCAGGACTCCATTTTCTTCATGCAGGAAATCTGCTTCTTCATTCACATAACTCATTTTCACACATTTTTCACTGGCCTCATATTTGGCTCCCCTTGGTTAGTAGTTTTCTTGCCACCTAATTCATTGGTTAGTAAATAGCTTTTTACTTGTCTATCAGATCTCTCTATTCTTGGTTTGTTTACATTTTTTTCCTACTGGTTCTCATGGGACAAACCCTTTGTTGTTGCAGGAGCGTTTGCTTTTTCACTTTTAGAATAAGTTGTTGTGTTAATCAAGTTCTCATCCTCAAAATATCTTCACATGGGAATGTGCAAACTGTTTGGTAGCTGCACGTGGAGGAGGTGACAGGGCAACTTTGGCAATTGAGCAAAGCCAGGCCTGACTTCAAAAAGCCTTTCTTTAATAATTCTTCTACCTGTCTTCTGCCTGTGCTTAGCCTGCTGCACACTAATACTAATTAGTCTCTAAATGAATGAACCTGGTGACTGAACTTGCAGCCCTATAAGCAGAGGTCTGGACATCCTTGGACATCCTTGTGCCCCTCTGCTGCCCAGAGCCCACTGGTAAGTGTTAAATGATTAAGTGGTGCTAAATCCTTTAAACATAATCTCTTGATCAAGTTTGAGGCAATTTTGGCAAGGGGACCCAGTCTGAATCCCATGGCTTTAAGTGTCTCTCTCACCCTTTGCACTTTTATTTTTCTGGTCTCCATATGAGTTATTTTACATTGATTGTGTAATCAATTTTCTTTTGTGGGCTTTATCTCTACAGTAAATAGCAGAGTAAACGTTGCCATTGAACCCTGTTTGTTTGAGCTTTCACCAATTTCTATCCAAGATCCATTTGCCAGGACCTTTGCTGGTGGCTCCATTTGGTGGCAGACGGATGTTGGATATAAATTTAAAGAACACCACCATGGTGGTTCCTTAAACTGCCTAAAGCACTAATGCACAACACCATCACTCTAGCTGAAAAACAGCAGCCTAAAAACTGCATTGTTGTTGTAATCCTTTGGACTATTGTGGTAAACCTTCCTGTTAGGCAAGGTATCAAATTTGTGGGATGTATCTGTAGGCCCTGAAAGAACTCAAGGATATTGACCTTCTCAATATAAATACAGAAATTGATTTATTTCCAGAAAATGTGGGGTATGTTCTGCTGAATGTTATCCTACATGACATAAAGCAAAACTCAAAGTAAATAAATGTGCTTACTGCAAAATTGCAGATTTCTACATCTTCTGATTACTGTAGTTCCATTTGCCTTTAAGGAAACATTGACAGTTTTTACAATGATTATTCCCACACTTGTCCATCCATTTTTTTCTTGGAAGTAAATGTCCTAGAACTGGCTGGGTACATTTAGATTTGTTGAAGCTGGGAAAGTGTTAAGCAAATTTAAAGGAAGAGTGAAAAATCTATAAACATTAATTTCTTGCCTGGTAATTAGTGTTGTATTTTCTTATTTTTAGAATAATCTATTCTCTTAGTCATTGGTTTTAGTCACTCCAACAGGAGTGACTAATCCAACTAGGAAATAACAAGGCATCTTCAAAGAGAAGAGAAATGTACTAACCATGAAAATGACAACATGGGGGTGGAAATTCAAGTGAATGACATGTGGTTTTAAAATCCTTGAAGATGATACAGTGATGATACAAGGACAGCTCCTCAGGACAACAGAACCAGGGAGGTTTTGGTGAGCCTGTGGTGTAATATTGTAGCCTAGAGGGACTTTTTTAGTTTTGTTTTATTTAGAGCCTTACCTTGGAAATGTGTACAGGACTTTGAGGTGCTACAACTGGAATTTAAGCAGCTCAGTGCCGTGAGGTTGAACTCACCTGTGGAGCCATTTAAGGGCTTTGTAATGGTCAGTGGTAGAAGCACCAGGTAATCTGAGCTTTTACAACTGCAAGTTAGATCCAGGAATCTGTCCTCCTGGGTTTGTTAAATTATGTTGCAAAAGAAACTGTAGTTGTTATGTTTCAAAATTATTAGTGATAATAAAAAATATTACCTCTGATCTTTCAGTTAACATGGAGTTAAAAAAAAAATCAATTGTTCTACTCCTGCAGTACAGTTGAAAGCCTTTAACTTGACTTTATGTGGAATATTAATACAGAGCTGATATGAGTGTGAGGTTGAAAGAATGCATACATGTAATACATCATTTGTCAGCTAAGAAAAAAACAGAAAAGCCCAAGCATTGTAAGTGGAGCTTTAGCAGCATGCTGTATTTCTCTTAGCCAGAAACACAATCCTGTGAGACGTGTCCATTGGGTTTAGGTGCACAGGATGTTCTAGAAACTGCAAAGAGAGAGACAAGAGCAAAGGGCATGTAACCTAGCACTGTAAAATGTAGTTTTCTGTAATTTTAGTGTAGCTAAACAGTTCCAGCTGTCAGCCTATGTCACATTAATATTTTCTGAAAAATCCCTTTGCCCAGGATTGTTCTCCTGGGAAGCTAAGAAGCCTCAGAGAAAAAGGAAAACAATAATTATCTCATTTGATTCTTCTGTGTTTTGCTCACATGTGGAATGTGTTTGGAGATTGTTTCAGTGGTTTCATGTGAATTGTTTTGACTCATTGGCCAATCAGTGCCAAGCTGTGTCGGGGCTCTGGAAAGAGTCACACGTTTTCATTATTATCTTTTTAGCCTTCTGAAAGTATCCTCTCTTTATTCTTTAGTATAGTCTATTTTAGTATTCTTTAATATAATATAGTATCATAAAATAATAAATTAGCCTTCTGGAGTCAGATTCATCATTCCTGCCTTCATCTGGGAGCACCCTGGAAATACAATAAGCCTTTCTTCAGGACAGAGGCTCCAGGCCCTTGGTTGGGTTTTCTCTGTATCTCCACATCTCTCTGATGGCTGGGAAGGCCAGCCCAGGACACAGCAGTCCCTGGCCTCTGCAGGGCTGAGGAGAGCAGAGGATTCCCTCATTTCTGTACCTGTGGCTGCTCCTGCTGGCAGCAATCCCCCTGCTGCAGCCAGGACAAGATTATGAACCTGCTGTGCTGCACGGGCGCACTGGGGGCTCGTGTTCAGCCTGGTGTCCCCCAGCTCCTGTCCCACCAGTCCCAGTTCCCTGTTGGTGCCTGGCTTTCCAGCTGCAGGCCTTGAGACTTTGCTGAGCTTGGGGATGTTCCTGCCAAGGCCACTCCTCCAGGTGATCAAGGTCCTGCACGACCTTCTGGATAGCAGCCACTGTCCCAGGGTTGTGGCACCACAAACTTGCTGGGGGACCACTCTGCCCCATCCTTCAATCTGTGAGAAACAGCCTCAAGTTGACCCAGAATAGTTTAGATAGGATGTTAGGAACAAAATAATTCACTGGAAGGATTGCCATGGGCTGAAACAGGGAACTGGTGCAGTTGTGATGTCTGTAGATAATTTAAAACCATGGGGTCACACTTGGGGACATGGTTTAGTGGTGGACTTGGCAGTGCTGAGCTGGAATCAATGATCTCTAGGGTCCTTCCCAAGCTAAATGATTCTGTTTTAAATAGGACAGGGGCCTGTGGTACACCAGTGGTCTCTAAGTGACCCTGGGCCTGAATTTTCATCCCATTTTCCATCCACAACGTTACTCACCCAGAATTATACCTCATATAATATATTGTATTGTATTACATTGTATTATATTGTATTACATTGTATTATATATTATATTATATTATATTATATTATATTATATTATATTATATTATATTATATTATATTATATTATTATGTTATATTATGTTATATTATGTTATATTATGTTATATTATGTTATATTATATTATATTGTATTATATTGTATTATATTTATATTTATTGTATTATATTTATTGTATTATAGTTACATTTATATTATATTATGTTACGCTATGTTATGTTATGTTATGTTATATTTTGTTGTATTATGTTGTATTATGTTATGTTATAGTATGTTATATTTTATAACATTATAATAGTGCCATGATATTGAGAGAGCACAGCCAGCAGCACTGAAAGAATGCCTTGTTCCCCTCTTAGGGTTTTCCATGTCTGTATCCAGAACCACAGCAGAGAATCACTGCAGCCCACTGCATTCAGCTTATTGCACCACAGCTGATTCCATTTTCAAAAATTCAGGTAAAAGACCTCATGTCCCCTCCATCTTCCACATGCTGAAAGGCATTTTTTGTGTTTGATTCTGGAAAGTTGAAGTGTGTCACTTGGAGTGGCAAAAAATGCTGTTTAAGGGTGGTTATTGAGGATACTGTAGAGTGAGGAAGAGTTTTTGTGCAGCAGCCACAAATAGCTGTGTGCACACATCAAATGTGGGAATTTGTACAATTTTTAAAAAATTTATTTTAAAAGAAATTTGGATGGGTTACTTTGGATTTTTTTACTTTCTCTGCAGTTACTAGCTCATCTGTGTTCTTCTGCTGTAGCAGCAGGTTCCTAAAGTTTTTTGTAAAATTATGCATAAACTCTTCACAGAGAAATAGAAATTCTAACATGGAAATTCTGTATCAGAAAACAAGTGTGTTATTGTCAGTTTTAAATCAGTTCCACAAGTGCAAAAGCCTTTTTACTTCTCGTGTCCAGTCAATAATATAAAATTAAAGTACAGTCAGCACAGGGACCAGTTGTTTTTCCCCATAATGAGGCCTCAACCCATGCAACATTGTCATTTTTAAGCTGACATACAATTTTACATGGGGCAAAGTGATGACTGCTCTGTGCAGACACATATCTGAAGTTTAAAATGCATTACGTGGGCAAAGTAATTTTGTTTTCCTGTTGTAATTAACTTTTCTCTCTTAGTCTTTATCATTTTGCAGATAATCTTCTTTTCAAGGCTGATATTTGTAATTTGTGTATAGTTCTTAGTTTTAAGGGACTCAATACAATCTGTGGATTATTCAGAACTTGTTTGAGGAGCAGTCATGAATGCTTTTACTACAATTTGATGTGGAAAATATGTTCATCTTCTGCCGTCCTCTGGCACTCTCTGGCATAGCAGTGAAAGCAGAACATGAGCTCAAACAGCAGCACAGTGGCACACAGCATCAGCCAGCATTTTTCTATTTGCTATTTCGTGATTCTTTGCATGAATTAAACAGTTGTGCTCAGGAAAGGGCCACCAGGGGATATCTTTTCAGCCTGGAAATAAAGGGTGGCCCTTCGAGGAATGTGATACACAGCTGAGGAAACACAGTGGGTTAGATCTGACATCTCTGTCTCGTCACAAGCTTCTCACTGTGATTTACTGGACTATGTACAAAAGAAAAATTTGCAATGTGAGACCTTAGAACTGCTAATTCTTTCTTTCCTGGCGTATAATTTTCACTCTGGTTTTTCATTCTCCAAACGTGGTTTGAACTTTTTTCTTTTCTTTCATAGTAGTGAGTTTCATCCCTTGCTTTCAAAGGGGAAGGGACAAAATCATCACTTACTTTTTTCTTGTACCTACATTTATTTATTTTTATACCCTAACCATCTTTATTTTTTCTAACAAAAACTCCCAACAGCCAAAAGTATAGCATTTTTTTTACATTTAGACAAAAATAATGTGGTCCTAATTTCATTTTTAGGTATAATCCTTAACTAATGTTTACCTGCTTTTTATTTTCTCATTTACATTTCTTGTGATGTGTGTGTATATATATAAAATTTCACATGCATATATATATATGAAATTATAGATAGTCATGTCATTGTTATACAATTTTATTATTATATATATTAATTTAATATATATATTCATATATACAGGAAATTAAAAGAAGGAAAAAGAGACTGGACAAATTACTCAAAAGGAATAATTTTAAACATTATCAGTAACTTTTGTGCCATAAGTTAAGCAGCAGCTTCATGACCCTGATGAAATCATCTGAGCCCCTGTCATTCCTCTCCTCCAATGGCCTGTTCTTCTCAAATGTGTAAAATTGCATGACAGAACATGAGAATTAGGAAGATTTTGCGGAAGGTTGGGCTGTATTTTTGCATATCCAGCATTCAGAGCTCAGAGGAATATTGCTCTGTCTGGTGTGACACCTGGAATGGAACATACAGGTGGCACAGCAGGCTGGGGAAAGTTCAACCTCTTGGCTGCTTTCAGTTTGTACTGTTTGAAATCAGGGATCTGAGAATCACGATTTTGCCACAGGCACACTTGTTAGGAGCAGAGAGGAAAGCACTGCCTGGTGCCACTTTGGGACATCTGCACCAGGGAGGGTCAGCCACCCTCTTGGACCTGAGTTTGGGCTCCAAAATGTCACAGGGGGATGTCCCAGTCATGCTGCAGCCCCAGAATGTCACAGGGGGATGTCCCAGTCCTGCTGTACCCCAAAATGTCACAGGGGGATGTCCCAGTCCTGCTGTACCCCAAAATGTCACAGGGGGATGTCCCAGTCCTGCTGCAGATCTGAAATGTCACAGGGGGATGTCCCAGTCCTGCTGCAGCCCCAAAATGTCACAGGGGGATGTCCCAGTCCTGCTGCAGCTCCAAAATGTCACAGAGAGTTGATGCTGTGCTGTCCCATGTGTGACAGGGGAAGGGACAGCACTGTGCTTCTTGGGGACCCTGCAGCCTGCAGATTCATTTTCCTTCTGAACAATTTGGTTATACACATAATAAGAGGTTCAGTCTGAGCAGAAATAACTCCCCCCTCTCTCCAGCTGGAGTATGAATTTTATTTATTATTTATTTATTTATTTATTTATTTATTATTATAGTGACAATTTTGGCTTGCATAGACTATATTATTATCATTATTTATTCGTCTATTATTAATTTATTATTTATTATTTACTATTGTGACAATTCTGGCTGGCACAGAGTATATTATTATCATTATTTCTTTATTTACTTGTAATTTATTATTATTGTGACAATACTGGCTTGCACAGAGTATATTATTCTTATTCTTATTCTTATTCTTACTCTTATTCTTACTCTTATTCTTATTCTTATTCATTTAATTATTTATTACTATCCTGACAATTCTGGCTGCACAGAGTATATCATTTATTTGTTTATTTATTTATGTATTTATATTTTATTATTATTACTATTGTCCTGAAAATTCTGGTTTGCGTAGCATATATAATTATAATTATTTATTAATTAATTATTTATTAATTTTTATTATCCTGACAATTCTGGCTTGCACAGAGTATATTATTATTACTATTAATAATTTATAAATTATTTATTTATTAATATTACTCTGAAAATTCTGGCTTGCACAGAGTATTTTTTTTAATTATCCTGATAATACTGGCTTGCATAGAATATGAACAGATTTGGGGTTTTTGCCCTGCTTTTCAGCTACAATCAGAAATATAAAAGGGCAATCTGTGGTCATTATTGAGACAATGCTGTGGTGCTTTGTGAGAAGGATTTTGTCTCTTTTATCTCATTTGTTACCAGCCTGATTGAAATGATTTCCTATCAGTGGAAATACAAGAGAAAGGACATCGGCTGGAGCTTGTGCTCCCAGGTAGCCAAGATAAGCCAGCAGCTTATCTGCTGGCCAGGAGAGCATTTCACACATTCCCTCACTCTTGTAGCACCTGTTAGAAGTGCATGACTTTGTGGGTTATCAGCATGAAATAGTACTCAATGAGAAAAATGAAAAATGAACATTTTTATTCACTCATTTAGACAGGATTTTTATTCACCTATTCACACAAAGAGCAAGCAACGTTGGGAAATACCTGCTGCACTGTGGATTCTAATTCATGACAAGCTCAGGAGAAGCTAACCAGGGTCAGTACAGCAGAAAAACACAAAAATCCACTCTTTTAGTGGCTTCTCATGTGTTTTCATCTTGTCTTCCCAAGTGGCAGCAAGTCACCTCACTTAAAGATTAATCTTTTCATTAGGAACATTAATAGTGCTCCAATGCCTTCCCTAGCCAGAACATTTCTTTCAAACAAATGAGAGGTATTTTCCCAGAAAAATATGTTTTATAGCTATATATAGCTATATTTTTATATATATATAGATATATTTTTTATTTTATACTCCATACTCCATGTATGTGTGTATATATATATACACTCCATGTATATATATATATATACATCTAAATAGGTATTTTCTGCTCTTTACAAGTTTCTGGAGACTTTGAGATTCTGTTCTTTCCCAGATGATGTTGATTTAAACTCAGGAAATATTCAAACTAGATGTGTAACATAATTATGGTATTCATTAGATCCAAGCTTTTTATAATCTGTCTGAAAATAGGGCAAAAAAATAAATTGAACATGTTTCTATTTTTTTTTTTCCAGAATTAATATCAGAGTTTTTAACTTCACAAGTGCAGATTTTTCACTGAAGGAATTTGTGACTAGGTTGAATTCTAGGTGTAATATAGTCCCTTTTTCCCACCAAAGAAGTAGCATCTTTTTTTTTCTGCTTTAAGTTACTTGTTAAGTGACACTTAAAAAAAAAATAAATGAAACCTCTATTTGATATGCGAGTTCTAGAGTTTAAAGTGATGTTTCATGTGTTAGTGAAAACTGGTGAAAGTGGTCTTTAACCACCAAGAGCAGGTGGACTAAAACCAGTGAGAATAAAAACAGTTAATAAGCAAAATTGAGAGCATGGCATGAGATGATTCAAAGCTACATTAGTACTAACAAATGCGCCAAAACTAGTGTTTTTCTAGAAAAAAGGCAAGAAATATTTAGAATAAAGATCTCACCAAGTTTCTGCTTGGCTAAAGAAATTTATTGGAAAATGAGGGGACTTGAATATTTCTGTTCTGAGGAACTGAGCAAGTTTTTCATTTTCATATCCATCTCCACCCTAGCAGTAAGGAAATAGATTTGTTTATTTATGTTTGATTTCATCTCATCAGCAAGAAAAGACTTCCATCCATTGCTTGTGATGAGACACTGTCCAGTGATAATTTTATGGTAATTAATCACTACCATCAGTTTTCCTCTTCCATGTTGTTTTGCTGTAAGAAGCTATAATGTTTATAGTAAATCAATCTAAAAGAAGCATCAAAAATGCCTGTCTTCTCATTTTGAAATGTGTAATTTACGTTTCTTCTGGGACAACTTGAATAGTGCTGCAATTAACAGCCTATAATGACAAATCTGCTTTTCAGATATTCATCATTCAGATGTAA